CTAAAGCTGGTAAAGTATGAGTAGTCGTAATAGTGTACTCTTAACAAATAGCAGAAATTCCAATTGGAGCCCTGCAGAGCCATAGTGATGAACTGACGATGTGGGCAGCCTTCTAAACAGAATTTGGGCGATGGTGAGTACATCGAGGGACATCGCTAAGCGGACAGCCGTGCTTGTTTAGCATTATCACCTCCTAGCCTCTACCTAGGACAAAGCCTAAGTGGTTACTAGGGGAGGGAGCAGGTAAGAGTTCGCATTTTCTCTCAGTTTATACTCTCCTCCTAGATTCAGTCCGCCGTGTCCCTGCCGTGTCCCTTAGTCATTAGGGACAAAATTCACGCAAATAGGATCAAAGGCACGAAACAATGTGAATGTACGACTGCTTATTGTCACGCGGACAGGAACACACACATTGCAGCATTGGTCCAAAGCCAGCAAATTCTCGGTACTTATCCGAGTTCAAACCGCTTCCAAGCAACAGATCAGATCTGCGTTTGTGCCTCAAGCAGGCTTTGCACTCTGCCGGCGATTACCACTTCATCAACATGAAGCAGCGACGCAGGAACTAATTTCTAAATAGATCATAGCGTTTACGATGTGAGTGATGAAGGAGGTAAAAACAACCCAGTAAAAATTCGACAAAACATGGACGGGTCAAGTTTGCAATGGGTATAGCATGAGCCGCTCTATAAGTAAGATATATTGGCTATAAGAAACTCTGCCCTAGTGGGGGAAATGGGCCAGAATTAAAATTCCGCTGAAAAATTGATGTTTTCGCTTCCGGAACATCCCAAAGACCAGACTAAAAATAGGGCCCAGATAGGGCATACGCCCCTCTATAAGGGAAATATATTGCTCATGAGAAACGCCGCCTACAGTAGGACGAATGTGGGGGGATGAGAAACGGTGCGGGTCTTGGTTGGCAACTTTTCGGACTGATGTATGGCACAGATGAGTGCCCATTAAATAAACTCCGGCTTATGGCAAAGGGGCTACGAGATCTGATGAACAGTCATTCGCAACCCTTGCAGGGTGATGCAGTAATGATGTTTCTCGTCAACTTTTGGCTTACGACGTGGTGATACTGCCAGTTCCTGATACTTGCGATGACATCGTAAACCGTCTGCCAAATAGTCTCGCAATGTGTGAGATGAGACGAATTACATAGCTCGCACAGTGTTCTAAGTTAAAATTTTCAGGGGCCTGAACCGCCACTTCACTTACAGCTCTCAGGTGCCCATCTCTGCAGTAATGCAGTTAAAGAGTCTGGAAACGTTTAAGATGCCAGCTATATGACTTCCATAGGACAATATAGGTCATATCGTCCTGAGCGGCCTTACTGTGTTTGAATACGGCCTTACGGCAGGAATTATGACTTAGGAGCTCGCAATTAACCATATTAGTTAAGCAACGGTTTGGTACAGCAAGCAATTAAGGCATTTCCAGATTTCACATACTTTTTGACTGCCGGAATGGTGTCGACAGCGTAGACGGTTTTAACCCATACCTCTCTAACAAGAACTGGTTCGTTGTAGGTACCCTGAAATATTATAACTATCATAAACATCATGATTCTTGCCCTAAATGAGAGAGAGGATTTGTTTGGAAGGAAATGGCATGGCATTCTTGAAAAGAGAAGAAAGATTACGTAGGTACTAGCTGATAAGGGTTTTTAGAAGGATTTCATGAAATTTCGAGAAATTTATTGCAATTCTAAATTTCGCCATTTTTTGTAGTATAGAACACACGTGCCCCGTCTCCCCTGCTTGACATTTTTCTGAGTCATGCGGAGTGGAGGGAGCATAGCAGCACGATGTGCGGAGGAAAAGGGTGAGACAAGGGACCACAGCCAGGGGACGGGGGAGGGGGTAAGAGGAGAGAAGGGCGTGTTAACGAGGTTCCCTTGACATGTTAATCATCCTTTTGTTGCCGGTCTTGTAAAAATGATAGTATTTACCTGTACAACAGTGCCGACTACTTTCTGGTGAGCACCTGGTTCCTTGCTTGGGTGCGTTACTGTCTGTTTACCAGTGCCTTTTTCTTCCATGACCTTGCCTATCACGTCTCCTGGAGCCTTTTCTGTGGATGTGGTTGGCACACATTCAGCGTCTGGAAAACACTCAGTCAGATGCCGCAGTTAGGTCCAAGAATTGACCCCTCAGTAGTCGTTAACTAATCACCGTAACAACGTCGGAATTCCGATTTTATAGAGGGGTTAACCCTACCAATCAAAAGATGTTGGAACTTAAAAGCAAGCTCCGGGATAAAACTGGTGTGTAGGAGCGCATCATAGTATTGTTATTCATTGTTGAACTGCAGATGAATTAAAAATGGAAAAGAAAGCAAGAGAAGCCATCGGAAACGCTAAAATTAAGGCCTTGACCTCCAGTAAGATCGGATATAGTACGAGGGCGAGACAAAACGATCAGAGAAGACAGAACACGCGAGAGAGCGTTCCGTTCGAGAGCGCGCTGATCTCCACATCAATGGCGGGTGGGTGGGAAGCGTTGCAATAAGGGCCGATGGCTGCAGCTCCAACGATTAGCGCCCTGACCGCGCATTTTGTGGGTTGTGGACGTTTTACGTATTCAGATTTCGAAAAAAGACGGCTCCACAGGTTTCCCAGTTCTGGTTATTACCGTTATACAATTTTTCCAACCATCAAGAGCATCGACCTTTTTAGGATTCACAGATTTCGAAGTGCTTGTATGGAGGACAACAGAAACGTTCTTCGAGACGGATACGCCACGCACGCGCCTGTGGCTGGCAGTCCTCGAAATTGCGACCCCCTTCCGACCAAAATGCGACCCCTTCGTTCGAACAGTTCGAACGGACGGTTGACCCTGGTCACAACTGGAACAGCTTGGCTGGAGCATATTTTGGCATGATGTCACACACGCGTTGCGCTAAACTCACTCGCGGGTCCGCTGTCGGAGCCTTTGCCTGGCCATGAGCGAAAATCAACGAAAAAACAAAGGGAGTCCCCTCCTAATTTTTCTTGACGAATTTCCCTGCTTTTTCAGCCAACGTTCTGATGAGCACCCCACATCCTCTCCAAACCACTGCAGGACCTATCGTAATCGCTGCCTTTCACCTGCATTAGACTATAATTTTACGCCATGGAACGGCCTCTACAGCTCCCAGCAAAAGAGCGGAGAGATAGCCTCCAAATGTGACTAACAGCCCTTCCTCTAGCAAGTTTGTCTCTGAAGCAAAATGGCTATAAATTCAATTCCGCATAGTATTTCATAAGCCCAGGTCATCACAACTTCGAGCCAAAATATTAGTTGAGCAAAATTTCTGCGAGTCATAAGAAGCTCATTAGTGAATAGTCAGAAGAAGTTGTCATGTTAAGATCGAGTGAGGGTTAATCGCGGCCATGCATCGTGGTGTTCGTCTACTTTGAAAATGCATAGAGAACTCACTATCAGGAGCGCCAACCGCTTGTCCTCCTGTCTGCGCTAACACCACGACACCGTCTTCATTCTTCACCAACACGCCAACCGTTGCATGTTTGTCCTGAAAACGGGAATCTATGTCAAATCCGAAAAGCTGAAGTAGGATCCTTTTGATAAACCTTCAAGCGTAGTCTGCTTAATATCAGATGTACAACCTGGGATCTACCTACAATCACAAAATACGAATCCTGAAATACGTATCATACACTGGTGTGCAAAACTTAAGGACGGAAGTAACTTTCACATGATATCTCACTGCTAGTTAACCTAGGTGGACCAAATTTGGCACATATATAGAAGTAAATGTTGCGGTACAGTGCAGAGAGTTACTAACAGAAAAGCGCAAAGGGGCGATTGGAAAAGACATTTTTCTGCAAATACCCTGTCTGAAGCGGTCGATGGGTGAGGCTTCTCCAACTCATGGTAGACATTCAAAAGAGAGGAGCTGGTTCTTGATGGGGTGTATGAACACTACGGACTGCAAAGCATGCTCTGCCACGTGCTCCAATACTGGCCACAAGGTTGGTTAAAAGTTCTTGTGGAGAAGCGATCCATTCCTTGAAGACCGCGATTGACAACTGCTGGACAATTGTTGGCGCATGGGGATGCGCTACAATAGCTCTCCTGAATGCACGCCACACGTGCTCCATAGAATTAGACTGGGGGAAGCAATCCTTGCTTTCCGAGAGTTTCCACCTAGGCTGCTCGATGCTCTCGCGCCTTGTCCTCCATACGATTGAAGTTGAGGTCAACGGCACCCTTGAAAGATGCACATAAGTGAGGAGTACAGCGTCACAATAACGTCGATCAGAAAGCATTCCGCGATCAGGAGTTGGGAGGTTGGTACGCCCTTGCAACTTTATGCCTCCCCACACCATATCGAATGGACTATCAGAACAAACATGTTGAACGATGGTCCTGGGTGCATTACATGTTCCTATCTCGCCACATGCGGATAAGCCTCCAAAATCACCACTACATCCAATTTGATCTTAACTGAGATGGACACGCATCAGCTTTCAAATCAGGGGTCATACGACATTGTTCCGCACCTAGCGAATGTTCTTGCCATATCGTTGCGTGGTTTTGAAGAGCAAACCACTATAGTGTTGTCATTCAGATAGGGACCCATCCTACACGCGGTCACTGTGCCACTGCTCGGGCTGGGATTACGTGCCTTATAATCCTGATAAATGACTTTTGCAACTGCAGCTTGCGGCTGAACGTGGGTCCATTTCCACCTGTTGCAAAAATTAGCGGTCACAAGCGGTTGCGTTTGATCGTAATCCACCACGTACTCCTTTGGGGGCAGCAGCCACTGCAGTCCATATTGCTCCTTATGCGCACAAAACAATGGTATGAGCAACATCAGACTTCTGGCCCTACACTGGTTACCAAGCTTCCTTCTTCCAGTTTCTCGATGACTCTTCCTCGCGCGAAAATTCACCCTAGTGTTGTCTCTTAGACTTGCTGTAATTAAGAGCACCACTACATTCAGCAGTAACTTCTCTCTGCTCAGTCAGTACACTCCCTCTTTTCTTGTCCCAATAAATCCCTCGCTCTGCATGACCACTCCCTTTTGGCTCCAGATTGAAGCCGGCAGGATATATGAGGCGCACTTTGACGTCCATGACTGTGAGACCTATAGCATTATGCGTGCACAGTTTCATCCAACTCCATCGGTTTGTTAATAAGTTAGGTCAATCTATCCATCTTGTTCTTAAGTTTTTCACACGTGTATTTAGCAAAATGAGCCTAATAATACGTCTTCCTTTCACAGGCTATCTCACAGTTAGCAGAGATAATTCCGTAGGAGAGCCTAAGTATTATCAGAGTGCATCTAATTCTAGCTAATGAGCGATCCTGTCAGCAGAAACACATGTCCTTACCTTTGGAACCGTTTCAGCATTGGCGATGTGCACCAGCACGGGCATTCCCTTCTCATTCACTTCAACTTCGCACGGCGGACATACTGCAATAGCAAGATCCCTTCTAGATCCCACATATATATATATCGCAATCATATTCTGTGTGTGTCTGTGTGTGTCGAAATTCATATCACGCGTCCCAGCAGCAATGGGGGAGGGGGTTGGTTCCAAGAAGTGGTTGCAGGGTGGGACGGGAACACGTTTGATGGAGGACACAAAGTGATAACGATTGATAAGAATTGATAAGGCGCTAGAACGCAAGTGTCATGGAATTCGTCGCGTCCAGCAGAGGCCTTGGTTCCAGCGAGTGATGTACAAGGTGGCACAGAACATATTTGATGGGGGTCAGAAGGTGACAACGACTGACAGGAGCTGATAGGAGGTGCCAGAACGCAACTTTACGAAATTCATAGCGCCCCCCCCCCCCAGAAGCAGTGGGCGTTGCTTCCATGCAGCAATGTGCAGATGGGACTAAATATCCCTACTATATATAAAGCGCTATGTCTGTCTGTCTGTGTGTGTGTGTGTCACGAAATTCATAGCACGCGTCGCAGCAGTCGTTAGGAGCTGATTTTTGATATGATATAGGGGGTGGGACGGGAACATATTTGGTGGGGGTCACAAAGTGATAACGACTGATAAGAGCAGATAAGAGGCGCTGAAACACAAATTTCACGAAATTCATAGTGCGCTTCGCAGCAGTCGTCAGGAGCTGATTTTGGGGCATGATATAGGGGGTGGGACGGGAACATATTTGGTGGGGGTCACAAAGTGATAACGACTGATAAGAGTAGATAAGAGGCGCTGAAACACAAATTTCACGAAATTCATAGTGCGCTTCGCAGCAGTCGTCAGGAGCTGATTTTGGGGCATGATATAGGGGGTGGGACGGGAACATATTTGGTGGGGGTCACAAAGTGATAACGACTGATAAGAGCAGATAAGAGGCGCTGAAACACAAATTTCACGAAATTCATAGTGCGCTTCGCAGCAGTCGTCAGGAGCTGATTTTGGGCATGAATAAGAGGCGCTTAACACAAATTTCACGAAATTCATAGTGCGCTTCGCAGCAGTCGTCAGGAGCTGATTTTGGGGCATGATATAGGGGGTGGGACGGGAACATATTTGGTGGGGGGTCAAAACGTGATAACGACTGATGAGGACTGATAGTATCGATATGCGTACGAACGTAGAGAGCACTTGAAATAGAAAATAGAGAGCAGATTGTAGATAATGCCTTTCATTTCAATATCATTTCATCAGCGTTGTAATTGTAAACTCAAACACCTTTCGACCGCTACACCTTCTAGAGTTCTTGAGGATGAATGGGATGCTCGAATAAATATGATAATGAATACTGGGCATTCCGTTTTGAGATATTCGACCGCTAAATTACCTCGATACTCGACGCATAGTGGTTGTTTACATCATCACTTTAGCTGTGCACTTCACTGCGCTTATCAAACAGTGAGATACAGCCAAGATGGGCAGCCTATGCAACGGACAGTAATACATTTAACGAAGCAGCTATAATTTAGCGGTGAAACCTAAAGCTTCATCGATTGTCAGTTCTATCAATGCGCGCGGTAGCGGGCGGAGCTAAACTGGTAAGTACATAAGGTCTACTCAAAATATGCGAGATAACGCAATTCATTCCAGTATCATTCATTTGCGTAAAGATAAACGATTATTCGATTGCCAAGTTATTGGGCCGTGTGCTATGCTTTCGGGGAAGGGGAAGATCTCTGCTTCGGGGAAAATCCCCGAAGCAGACGTCCCCGAAGCAGGGCGTATGTTATGCTCCCGAAAGTTCATTCGGGGAGAAAACACGCAGAGCTTATAGAGCGCGAAATTCAAATGACCTTGAAGCCACGGTGATTGCGTTTGACAAGAGGGAACTGAAACTACGCTTAGTATTAGTCGTGGAAACAATATGGTCCTAATGAGATGACTTCTACTATTTTTCTCATGAATACAAGTCAGTTGTAGGGCTCCATAGCACAACAGTTCTCCACAGCAGCTGTAATCACATTTCTGCAGAGGGAGGGAGCCCAGTGATAGGTAAATCAGGTTGCTTGTGCAAGCGAGGAAATCGATGAGCACGAAAGTGAGTGAGAACTGTTATGGTTCCGAAAACTTGAGTCGCTCTGCGCCAGGGTCTCCCTTCTAACCCCGCTCTATCCTATGTTCAGCTTTACAAATATGATTAGTCATGTCTTATTGGAAGTTGATTTCCCGCTCTATCCACTTCAATGCTTTTCCGTCTTTTGATGAGGTGTAAAGACTGTTTTTCCTTGATCTGGTTCACTTTAACTTTACGGACCAATTTCCTTACCGAGCGCCATGGGTAAGCTGTTTTCGATAAGCCCCAATATACCCATATACTACTCGACAGCAGATATTCGAACAGCACAGTACTCTACAAACTAAATCAGCGAAAGAAAAGCGAAATGCATTTCCTATCTTATGCAAACATGATGCGCAGTGAACAGGTGCGCATGAATTTGTATATTGCACAAGATGCATGCACCTTTTTTTGCGCAGAATTCTAGTTTTATAGAATGAAACATGGTTCTTGATTTTTACAGAATTTTCCCTTTATCCATAGCGCTGAACCAGTATTAGCAGCTGCATCACAGCCACGGACATATGATCCATTGCATCTTGTGCAGACACCAACGACGTCGCCGATGCTTTGCAGCATAACCCCCTTCACGCTTCGAAGAAGCGCAACTCTTAAGATTGTATGTTTCCCGTGAAAGAATAATGTGCTCCAGCAAGAACAGTGCGCGCCGCGGCGACTACTCTAGCCTTCGGGGATGCTTCCCCCAACGATAACGTAGGGGGACGGGAATAGCGTCCCCGAAGCTCGGTGGGCGTGGCCTCTCCCCGAATGAGCTTCGGGGACGGATAGCATACGACTTAGGGGACGCGTCCCCTTCCCAGAAAGCATAGCATACGGCCTCTGCCTGACATTCGATGCATTGTGGTTGTTTACAGAATCACGTTAGCTCCGTACTCCACTTTGCGTGTCAAGCGGACAGCTGTCGGCTCACGCATTCCCGAAACCTTCGATGCCATGCGCGCGGTAGCGTGCGGGTCTAAGCTGGTCGCAGACAGGAAGTACTATACTATGTATGCACATGCATAGCGGCAAAAGTTGTATTTCCCATCATCGAGCTTCCCGTCGCATCGGACGCTGCTGTTCATGGAAGTTCTACGGCAAAACTTCTTCATATGTCCCTGCAAAAGCAGGCCCTCGTTTGCTGCCCTCACCGTCTTCACAATATGACATCTGCCATCACAGTTGAGCTCAAGGAGGCCTACCATAATCAGTCCAAGGTGCCACATAAAGAATAAATGATAAAGCATTTTTCATTCGTAGTGGCACTTGAACTACAGTGCGTTTCAAAAGTATGTGCACACCCTCAAAATTCACGTTTGAAAGGGAACCATGAGGTTTCGTGCTATGAAATCCTTCTCAATCGATTTCTCGTAGTCGATAACCTATCAATGGAAGCAAAGCAGATAATATCGCCTTCACTTTCGAAAAAAAATTTTGGATGAAATTTTTTTCTTTGTTTCAAAAGTATGTGCACACTTAACAAAAGACAAAAACATAGCTGAGATTAGAAATCAGTGGGGCCTCCAGAGTTTCTAATTAGCTCAAACATCCTGTCCGGCATAATCTGAACCACGTTTGGCATAGCTGTTTCGTCGCTGTCGGCCCAAATAGCCTCTACCGCCGCCTTCAGTTCATCCGCGGTATTATACTGCCGGTTGCTAAAGTTAACGCCTTGATCAAGGGCTCCCTATAGGGTTGCAGTAAGGAGGACACACAAGCCAATCTATCGCTTCAGCACCATTTGGTTAAGGCCATTCTTTGGTAGATTGCGAAGCATCGAAAGACACGTGGTCCTGTTGCTAAAAATGCAATTTTCGCTCCGCTTCGCTAAGAAAGGCAACAGG